CCGCGCGCAATTAACGCGCACTCGTCGCCGGTAAATTCGCATCGGGTACGTAATGTTTGTCCAGACTCGGAGAGATCAGAGCTGGGGAATCAAATCAAACGGCAAAATCGCAACGAGAGTGAGCGCGTGGCTTCCCTCCGCCGAAAGGACACAATAATTTCGAGGGCGCGTTTAACGCGCGCGAGCACACGAGTCGCAGTCTCTCTCGCAGGACAAGCGGCTCTTTATACGCGCGATTGTCCGACGTGTGACGCATTTCGCGCCAACTAATTACGCGAGCGTGCAGCTCGTGCTCCCCTCCCGCGACGAAGGCGAGAGCGTGTTTGCGGAGAGCCTCAAACCAGAGAGGGGCGCGCTGGAGGCCAGCCTCTCTCCCCAGCGCGCAATCCGGCAGGATCAATCGATCCTCGATTCTTGCAGGCTGGGATTGTCTCTGGCGGGAAATCAAGGCGGCTTTGTCTCGCCGTTTCAGACGATCGATCCCTCGCGCGCGAATTGCACCCCCGCCAGCCCGGTCGCCGGATAAACGCTGGTGAGCGTGCAAATGCTCGATTCGCCGACGGACTCATTGTTCGCACGAGCCGTCGTCGCTCGCTTTCGACCGACCGACTGTGTGTCCCGGATGCTTCGAGGAGCGTCGAAACGCGCGCGCGCGCGCGCGCGCGCCATCATCTCGAGGACGCGAACCGAGGGGAAATCAATTAGCGGGGAATGCGAGATTATTCCGATCGAGTCGCTTTGTCGAGCGGTTATACGATTATCCGGAATTTGTCTCGGCAGAAGGAATAACGTGTCCGAGGCAGTTCGGAGCCTGCCGTGCTCGCGCGCGCGTGCTCAAGTGGGGATGCATTAGGTCGGTAAATTGATTCGCTTGCCTTCGCTCTTGCCCAATCTCGAGTGCCATCTCGGGTTTCGATATCATTTTCCCGCAGTTTCGCGCTCGCCGAGCATCGGCATTAGCATTCATGCCGAGGCGACATCGTTGCGACACTGTCGTGCGAGAGCGTGCGAGCGACGGCAGCTCTCGGGCGAACGCTAATGAACGTAATGAGCGTTGACCTGACGCTGCGTTCTTTCCGCCGGAAACAAAGCGTGAGGATTATTCTACCTCGCTGACAAATGAATCGTCAATGTTGAATGAATCGACGAATCAGTCAGTTTGCGTGGACCCGATGATAAATTCCTACTGATCCCTCCCTCCCCAACGGTAATTAATGGTTTTATCGTTGAGAAATTTTATCGTTGAGAAAGCGGGCGGAGGAGGGCTGGCGCCTCGTCCATTATTCGACGACGGCCGCGATTACTTTGTTTCACGTCGCGTCCTCATTTCAAGCCGCGGATCTCATTGGGCAGGGATGAATTCTCGCTTTATTGTCGACCGTAATTGTCCGGTTTTCGGTCATCCGTTGTATCAGAATGCGACTGCGACAACGAAGCAGTCGCGAGTCCTGTCGGAGACGCGGAAACCTGGAGAAATTCTCCTCCTCGCTCGATGTCAATGTACTTAATATTCCACTTGCTGAAGTGCGTTTTTCTCCATTTTCTCGAATACTACGCGTCACGCTTGTCATTTTCAATGGGCCACGGCAACAATCCCCGCGTTTCCCGCAGCGTCCCTCGAGAGATGCCGAAATAATACGCGTCGAGTATCTCTTCGCACACAATCTCGACGTGCCCAGTTCGAGCAAGAAATTTCGCAGCAACACAGCAACAGCAGCAGCAGCAGCAGCAGCAGCAGCTGGAGTGTTTCTCGTTACGGAGATAATCTCCCCGAGCGTGTACAAATGGATCGCTCGAGAGAGGGAGGGGCGAAGGGAGAATGAGAAGGAATGAGAGAGAAGAGCGCTCCGTGTTTGCGCTGGCTGATGCACCGAGTCCATCCTCGAGCACCCGCGTGACTTCCGCGGAGATAGAAACGAGGAAACAGAAGCCGACGAACGAATAGGCTCGCCTCGCGAATGCGAATCCGTTCGTGGAACCCTCGTCCCGAAACGACCACGGCGCCGTCGTGCTTATAAATAGCCGCGTTCGAGAGGAACGCGCGCGCGTTGGAGAGGATGAACCGCGGAAGGGAGAAGGAGGAAGATGGCTGAAACGACAAGAGAGAAAGAGAGGGAGAGAGAGGGGCTCGAAAAGCAAAGAAGGAAATGGACTCTTAAAGATCGCGAAACTCTCTCGCGATCTATTTCCGATGGATGATACACACACAGGCTTCCCGTGCGATTCCTCGCGGCCGGTTTCCGCGAACCGCGGCCCTGAAAGAACGTGCGTTGCTACCTCGATTTTATCGGGTCACGGGGATGTTGAAGTTGTTTGAGAGAGAGAGAGAAAGAGAGAGCGGTCTTCCACATTGTTGCACTTTAATTTCCAGCGAATCGTCATCGCGCTGTCGTGCTGCGATGAACGATGAAGATCGAGATCGCTGGAAATTAAAGCGGTGCTACTGTTCGGCAACTTTCCGTCATTCCGTTACCTCGCGCCGCCACGCCGCGGCCGTACCGCTACCGTGCGCGAAATTTAGCGGAAAGGCTACGGAGGATACAGGATAAATCATCGGCCTCGGCACACCGAAGGGCCGTCGCGTCGACTCGGCAGTATTTGGGCACGTCGCGACTTACGGACTGAAAATAAATCGGAATGCGAAATCGAATTTCAACATAGCCGTTCGATCCGCCTTGCCGCTCCGACGGTTTTACGAGACGTTTGATGGTTGTGCGTGGCGATCCCATCGTTCCTCTTGTCTATTTTTCTTCCTTTTTTTTTCGTGCTCTTCTTTTTCTGTTTCATTTTTATTACGGTACCGTCGACTCCGCTCGTAACTTCCGAAGGGTATATGTTCATACACACACCTATACACACACGAATACACTTATATACAATATACATGAACACGTATATATGTACAAAAAACGTATATATATATATATATATATAAAGAAAAAAATATATAGATAGATAGATAGATAGAGATAACATTTAAATATGTTTAAGGATATGTACTAGCCTAGTGCCTAATATGTTCGTATTTATGAGGAGGATAATTCGAATATAGTTCTCTCGTTCTTTCCTGTGCAAAGCACATCCACACAACATTGTAAATATAACGGAATGACGTAAAAATATATGTGAGTGTCCAAGGAGAAAAAAAAACGAATACGATGGACGAGAGTCCGAGAAGCCAACGGAGAAGCCACCTTCAAATTGTCTCTCCGGTGTAGTCCGGTGTAGTCGATCTCTCGAACTTCGAAACGGAACGACGAGAACGCATCTTATTTACGGAAAACGGGTCTGCGAGGTAATCGTTTCAGTCGGGAATCTTCGGCCGAAGAGAGCCCCTTCCGCCGCGCGTCTGCAATTTGAGATGGTTTCTTTTTCGGCGATCTTGTTTATTTTTTCGCTTGTCTCACACATATGCACACATACACAGAACCGCCTCTTTACTTTGTAACTTACAATAAATAACCACGAGAAGCGACGCGCGCCGCCGAAAACGGTAAATATCCTCCAAAGTACAAGCAAATGCAAATTGCCGCTAATTAACGTAGTTGAAAGCTCTATTGAGAATTGCCAAGTGAGACTGAGAGAAGAGGAGAGAGGGGGAGAGAGAGAGAGAGAGAGAGAGAATGCGAATGGAAAGCTGAAAGAGAGAGAAAAAGAGAGAGAGAGAGAGAGAGAGAGAGAGAGAGAGAGAGAGAGAGAGAGAGGAAAAGAGCGAGAGTTGCGAGCGAGACAGCGAGTAAGTGAAATAGAACTAAATGCGAGGCACTCACACAGCGAAGGTGCTTTTTGTGTGGAGGTAGCACTTTTAGACTAGTGACGCGTAGAGACTAACATCGCGTGTGGGAGGTAGTGAATGAGCTTTTTCTCCCCTCCCTCGTTCCATCCTTGAGCTTTTTAGCACGGCTCGTGTTGCGTTTTACGAGACGAGAGTTCTATCGCTTCTAAGCTATGCAGTGCGCTAATTATCGCGATCCATTAACCGACGTTAACCATTAACACACATACATACACGTACACATGCGCGCATACACGCAGCACATACATACGCGCGCGCGCGCGCACACACGCACACGCGCGCGCACACACACACACGCGCACACACACACACACACACACACACACACACACACACACACACATACGTGCACACATACACGCACGTACACACGTAGCCCAACGTTAATTGTACACACTATACGCTCTGTGTCTCCCTTAACCGACAATCACCACTTGTATGTCTTGCCGTTGTTGCCTTCTGGTTTTTGGTTTCATCCTTTGATAAAGACGGATTTTGCCGCATACCCTCACACAACCCCGCCGAGATCTTGTTTCTTTTTCAGGAGACTAAAATATCATTGTTCGTGGAACGTGTTTGGTGATGCGACGTCGCGAATGATGACGCGCGAGAGAAGCGATTATCACATCGACGCGACATAATTTCAGCTATCGCGTTTCACGTTACTCGAGTCGTGTTGAGTTTCAATGCAATCATATCGTCATTTTGACGAGTACATTGTGTCGCATTGATCGAACTTGCCCCGAAATTGACCGACTGACGTTTCAGCCGCCGATGAGGCTCTGCACAGATTTTTCCGAGGACAACGTCGTGCAAAAAAAAACGAGCAAAAAAAGAAAGAAAGCAGAAGCCACTCGACCATCACACCGAGAATTGACCGACGATCTCTCGGTGTGTCTCAAGTTCGGTGGACTTCACAGTCTCCTTTATGCACAGCGCAAAGTTGTCTCTGTTTCTCAACGTTATCTCGCAGAAACGTACCAGTACGTTTTCACAAAGCATGTCGTATTATCTCACTCTCCTGCAACCGCTTCCACGACGCGATTCACCGAGGTGTACTCTCTCTCGGCTACGAGTAACAAAACTGTTAACCATCACCAAACATCGTTCGGTATTGCTTTTGCACTAACGGACTGCGACATACATATACAAACGTGCATTCTGTGCGAGATTAAAGAACGATACTCTCTGATCATCTTTCAAGGTACGGACTCCGGCGTGATGCACCATGAGGGCCCGCTGATATCGAGCGCAGTCATAATCGGCATTGTCATCGCGATACTATTTGTCATCATTATTATCATCGACGTCATCTGCTGCTGCGCACACAAGACAGGTGAGCCGGCGTTAAATCACCGCGCTGAATCGATGCGTGAACAGATTATTGACATTTCTCCTTGCGTCGCATCGCGTCGCGTAAAATAGCGAAACGCGCGATTCACGTTACCGTTGCGTGTCCGCCTTGCTTCGTTCAATTAAGATCGAGCTTTGCCAGTCGAGATCGCGCGCGTTCTCGGTTATGAACATTTTCATTATATCGCAGTTATTGCTCCCTATATTTGGAGGTGGAAAAAATGTGTATACTTTTGAATATGAAATATATTAAATCTGACGTTCAATATATACGTTTTAAACGTCGCGTACAATTTCGACACTAGTCGGGAATAACATTTTTGACACGACGTGTATAATATTCTTTTCTTTGGTATGTTCTTCACAGGGATCATATATTACGTGTGCGAACGATCTCGGCGGAAGCCAATCGACGAGGAGGACGCTAAGCTCGGCAGGTGAGTCACTCGTGAATTACACGAGATTCGCGGTGATGGTGTTTTACACACATACACACGCACACACATACACACGTACATTCACTCACGCGAACACGTATATATGTATTACGAGATACTCTTTTGATATACTCTATAGTCTACCGCATCTCGTTCATATACATATTACATATGTACTGTACTCTACATTGTGCTTTGGCAAGTCTAGCGCTACTTTATCATGCCATCAGACTTTACACACTCGCGCGAGACGTTTCTTTCTTATGAATACACCCTCTCTCAGAGCGTCGGGGGAAAGAGAGTTCGCTGATAATACAGTTCCATTTACAGTCCGGTTTCATTTAGCGTTTCTCGCGCTACTTGGTGCGGTTCCGCATGTCGGAACGTTGCGAGAATTAATACCGCTCGACTCGCGTTCTCGCGAAAGAGACTTAAGGATCTCTCTCTGGAGTCGCAATGATGGCCGCGATTGTCACGTGTTAGAGAATAGCCCGCCGCTAGGCAAACGATACCACCTTGTTGACCCCTCTCGTATTTTTCTCTTTTTTTTTCTTTACCGGTAGTCTTTACGGTTGGCGGTTTCCATTGCCTTATTGCGACCAAAAAATGGCCAATGTCGCCGGAGTCACGGCCAACCACGAGTCGGGTAGTGGAAAAAATACCATTAGATTGGTCAAACACACCGCCATGTAAGAGAGAAAACGATGTATAAGCGAATCAGTAAGAAGCATGGCCCCTCACGAAGGGGCTCCGACACGGCTTTCCACTTTGCATGACAATTCTTTCCGTTTCTCTTTCTTCCTCCCCCTCCTTTTTTCGACACTCTCCTCCTTCGTTTCCTCCTTCATTTCCTCTTTTTTCTTCTCTTTCTCTCTCTCTCTCTCTCTCTCCCCCCCCCCTCTCTCCCTCCCTCCCTTTTTCTCTTTCTCACACACACACACAGACACACATTGTTCTTTTTATCTCCCGCCTGATTTCCCGATGCGACGGTGGTGTCCAGCCACCGAGGCCGCTCAATGGCGTTCAGGGATGAAGTGCATCCCGTAAGGGAACTCCCGATACGCATCAAAGGAAACTCGATGAGCATGAGAGAAAACACGTCTGATTTGTTGAATGCATTCGCTAAACCGCGAATCACCCTTTTGCACACTGCAGTACTTGGTGAATTTTTTGTCAACATTCTTGCGTCGCGTCGAAACTATGCGTCTACTCATGACAGCTGCATGAAATGCGGTTTTTTTTTTCATTTTTTTTTCTTTTTCTAGATATAGCACAGTGTATCCGCGAGGGAGTCCTCTGGGGGAGTTGTGGATAGTCCCAATGACCGACCGAACCGTGATCTAAAATGACCCATATTTTGTCTATCGCATTTTTCCAACGAAATATGGAAACGCTATCCCCTGCTCATGAAGGAAGAGAAATTGAAAAAAGAAACGAAGAAAAAAGAGGAAACTGATCGAATCGGTCATATCACGAAATTACTTTATTTTTGTCTCATTATTTTTTTTTTTTATTACATTCACGTTAAGTCTCTCGCTTGTCTCGGGATCGGTGCGCTTGATTGCGCGTAAAATTGCAATTCGCTGGGCGAATCGACATCTCGTCGCGGGGGGGAGTCGCCGTCGCGAATTTCATCTCGCGCAGCGGACCGGAAACTTTTCGCCATCGAGAATCACCTGCGAGCGGCCTCGGTAATACGTTTTATCCTGTCAATCCTGTGAATTACGCGCGACACAGCGATCGCCGGCACTTCGCCTCGAGCTTTGGCCATGCCGCATGCACGATAATACACTACGAGCAATGCTCACTTCGTCCGTAGTTCTCTCTAGCTACCCCTGCCCAGGCCCCTTGTCTTTCGTCACCGCACGTTGTTACGTTGCAACGAGTACCGCGAGTCTTCTCGCTCGACCTGGCCGCCTTTGTGCTTTACGAAGCACAAACAGCAGCGCGAACGCAAACAAACAGCCGCGACGACGACTCGGTGTAACAACTTGGACGGAATAGTGGCGTAAGCCGATAAAAGTAAAGTTTTGACATATGTTGTGTGCAGAGAGAAGAAAGCGGAGGAGTTACGCGGGTGATCGATTTTTGGACCGCGCGACGGAGCCGCGACGAAAACAGAAGTAATTTAGAAAAACGATCCTTCGCGAGGGAGAGAATATTTATGAGTCGAGTTTCTGGTCCATTGTACACACGAAAGGAAGTTTTACCGCGCGCTATCCCGCTATTTTTATCTTGTCGGCCGATTATCTCGGCATAAAAGTCTCTCTGTTTCTCTCTTTTCTTTTCTTCCTTTTCGTCTCAGATGAAAAATCTCAGATTCATCTCAGATTTTCACTCATCTTCCTCATAGATACTCTCTGATACGAACTTCAATCGGATTAAACATTTCGGTCACAAACTCTTGTGTTCTCAAGGATGAGGAAATTATAATGCTCGCTACTATTCCGTCTTTCGTAATATCCGAGCATTTACGAAAATTATCCCGGGTTTGTTCAAGTCATCAGAGACGAATTCCGCGGCCTCAAGAAAGCGCGTACTCTCTACAAAGTGTACACGCGGAAAATCCAACCGACGAAAATAAGACATCTCTAGAGGCGGGAAGCGTTCGTTTATGATACAAAGGAAGTAGTGTGCACAATTAGTCGCATGTTTGCACTTTGCACGCTAAATTAATATCGAAAAAATATAGAGAGAACGGAAGAGAGAGAGAGAGAGAGAGAGAGAGAGAGAGAGAGAGAGAGAGAGAGAGAGAGAGACCATTATCTTGAAACTCTCTCGTAGTTGTACTTTGTGCACACACACATATACACACGCACACATAATGTGTGCGCGTGCGAAAAATCGAACGCGTTACCTCGAAACGACAACGAGCGACTCGCCACGAGTGGCGATAACCGCGGATTTCCCGAGACTTACCGAGAGTAACGTACACCGCCTAGAGACGCATTGTTCCATCCTCTTCCCCACCACTCACCCCTTGGAGCCTTTTACTCTGCGAGACGTACCTTTTACTTTTGCGAACGTGACATTTGCGAGTGATAGCATGCCTGACATGTATATTCGATGTCGCACCACGCGCCGCATATGGACATGCCCTGTTCTTCCTTTTTGTTCTCCCCTTTTCTTTTTCTTTTCCTGTTTCGTTTTTTGCCCGATATTAGAAGCTAACACGATTGCACTCGGAAATCACGATGGTCCGGCAAATGTTGGTCTTGGTGCTTTTTCAGAGACGAGAAGGAGCCGCTGAAAGAGGAGAAGAAGATCACGCCTATCATCGATTCCGGACTGCGCCGGGAGACCTCCATCACCTTTGACGGCAAGAGGTCCGTCTCCAAGACCGGCTTTGTCGGCAAGGACTCGGCCGTCTAGATATTCTTCCGGCGTACTAGATTGTAAATCGTCCCGGAGACGCGATCGCGCGGTCTCCGGTCAAAGTGTTCTCGAAAAGAAACAAAAACAAACACGACAAACGAAACAGGGAGGAGAAACAAAAACGATGCGAAAAGAGAGAGAGAGAGAGAGAGAGAGAGAGAGAGAGAGAGAGAGAGAAAGAGAAAGAAACAGGAGAAACGTGCAGAGCGCATCATCGTGAGCTTGCTTGCGGAAGTACCGGGGGTTGTAAACCGCTCCGGCGGGATTTTCCCGGACGCGCGGAGCATCTCGCAGTTGCATTTTCGCCATTCACCCACGAGCCTCTCCGAGCTCCGCTTTTCGTTTTCGCTCTCAAACGTGCACGGTTTCACGGTCGCACCCGACCGGCCCCTCCTCTCCCTTTCGAGACCTCTTATTCGCGTACTGCGATACGCCGCCTTTTCCTACAGGTCCTTGTGGATCCCTTGAAAGCGCTTCCTGCTATTGGTAAACTCGCCGACTACTTTGCTACGAGACCTTCGCTATACGTCTGATTTTGTGCGTGAGGTAAGTCAACAGCTTCGAGAGAGAGAGAGAGAGAGAGAGAGAGAGAGAGAGAGAAGGAGCGAACCTTGGAAACCTGATGTGTACTCTTTGTGCTTCGTCTCTCTTCATCACTGAGAAATGTGATAGCAGTGTTCTTCCTAAATGAAGGGAGAATCGACTGTACCGTATCGACTCTTAGAAGAGGGAAATCGTCGCCGCAAAGATGCGGCAATTGAAAGTAATATTGCAAATTGACATCAAGGAACTTTTTTGAAATATTCCTCACTGACAGACGAATCACGTTCCGAAGGTTCGCCTCTCTCGATCGTAAAAGCAATCTCAAACTCCCACGTCCCACGTCAGATGTACTCGCACAGATAATCGATAGTTCGCGAGACGAGAAGTGCGAAATGGGCGGTAAACGCGTATTTCGTAGTCGTTTTAGGAAGCAACTATGACGAATATAACTGTACTTTAGCGCGTACTGCAAGGCAACGAGCAGTAGGTAGGTCGCTTGCGCGAGAAGCAGAAGGAGAAGAAGGCGTTGATGATAATCATGACGATAACGATGATGACGGCAAAGGGGAATGTACAAAATTCGTCGCGAAATTGGTAGAGGTCGATCGATCGATTTAGTGTGATCCATGCTTCGAGGCACCCTTTAGATTATCGCAATCTAGTACGCTGGGTAGTATCGCGTCCTTCGTCGCGCGCAACTTGACGAAAAAAGCACGGGGAAAGTCATACTCTGTTGCGCTTCGAGGAAGAAAGGAGGGAGAAAAGGAGGAGACATGAGAGAAAAGGAGGAAGAGACTTTGTGTTCGTTCCGACGGAAATGCATATTGCATTTTAAGGGGTATAAAAGTGGAGGAATACGACGCTGGTATTCCTCCGAGTTTACTGATACTCAGGCAACTTTGATTCTTTCGCCATTTCGCCGGGAGAATCTGTAACGCTATTATCGGTTTAATATTAGAGGGACGACGTGTGCACGTCGCGGCACGCGAATTTTCAATCGGAGTCGCATGGACTTCGGGATCCGACGGAGGTATTTATTGTTGTAAAAGTGGTGAAAGAATTGAGATGATAGATGATGATCCTCGAGAGCGCGAAAGTGGAGCGTGATACTCGCGATTACCTCCGCCGATTTGTCCCAAGACGAGTGCGACACGAAGATCTCGCCGAGTCTTCGATGTCTTTCCAAAGTACAATTTTCCTTCTCTCTTTTTCGTTTATTAACGCATGCGAAAATGCGTTGCGAATGTTTCTTTTCCGTTGTCAAACAAGCTCGACGAATCGTTTCGTCTACTGTGGCGAAAGGGAGCTTGAGACGGATCGGCGTGGTTTATCATCCGCGAGGCATCGTCGTCCGTTATTGCGCGATCGAGGAACAGCGAGTGAGCCTCGCTATTGTACCCCGCAAGCGGCAACAGAGAAGCCCTTTCTATCTTCCTTCCCCTTAGGCGAGGTGCGCGCGATTTGCGCGTCAACCTCCGCGTTGTATATAAACTTTGAACAATCTATTATCTTCCCTCATTCACATACCTCCGTGTACATCTCTCCGTGTCTTTCTGATTAGAATCGACCGTCGGCCGAGACACGTGAACAGTAGATAGCTCTTTCACATATTGCGATACCTTCGTCGCGTTTCTGAGCCCTCGTATCTTCGCCTCCGTAATCGTAGAGCATTTGATCCTCTTTCTTTTCGTTTCTGTTTCGTTTCTGTGTTTTAAACTTTGAAAGACTGATTCGTTCTTTTTTTTTTTTTTCTCTTTTTCTTTTGTTTTAAACGTCGAACCAGGGAAACTTTGTCATTCAAATAGGTCGAAATGGAATGCCGAATTTCCTCTCTCTCTAAATGTTCAAACGCTACGCGCGCGCGTGTTCTTTGTGCGAATCTTGCGATCATGTGTGTGTAGTTATGAGCGAATTATTATGGAGTACCTTGCGCATATCTGTCACACAGCAGCGAATCCCTTCGTTCTGCGTATACATTTTGTCATGCATACATAGATTTGTCCTTTTTAACTTGAGTGAGAAATGCTCTCAATTTGTTTTTTACTTTATTTCTTTTTATAATCGTGATACTGTAAAGTATATGTTTTTATGATGTTATGGTTATGTGCGTCGTGCAATGCAACATGCATAAGAGCAGCCCATTCTTCTTTGTGTCTGTTTCTTTTTTTAGAGTTTTAATTTTTTATGATTCAGTGATTTAATGATTTCTTGCCCTTCTATCGAGAGTAGAGACAATAATTTTCTTATTTGACATAAAAATTTATGAAAGGAGGAACGATCAAAGTGAAGATTGGGCCACTCTTACGAGATTGGACCTCGATCGAAGTTGCAGAAGTCATCGTGATTGGGTTATCAGTCGCGATTGTGCAGGAATCGTGACGAAGAGCAGCGTTAAGATCCGAGGAAGAAGAGTCGGTGCGTGAAACTTGATAGACTTCTGACGGATCTTGGTACGTTACTTTAAATACAAAAGTCTCTCTCTGCACATACATACATACATACACACGCACACACACGTACGTACGTACATGTGTGTATGTGTGTGTGCGCATATGTATAATGTAATCGAGAAGCAAATGACATTCACCGTGGCGAATATCAAGTCACGCGGATACACGAAAGCTTGCCAGTCGGATTTTTTTTCGGTCAGTGATCCCCGAAAGTGACATCGGAAAAACTGCCATATATAATTAATATATCCGAATAGCGAGTAAAGTATCACTCTTGTCCTAGTGTCTAAGATGGCTTTTGCAGAAGAAAAAAAAAGCGCAGTTAAAATGTGATAAGTTTTTGTAAATGCTTGTAAACGTTTCTCCCTAACTGTAAGAAGTATCGATGATAAAATAGGAGAGTCATCGTAGATTTAGAAGACACGCGCGAGTACGGAGGGCGTGTTTCCGCGGAAAGCTAACGCGAACGGGGGAAGAGCGTAATGTCTCGTCGACATTGAGACGAATCGAGTTACAGCTCACGATTAAACGTTTATTATTGAATTATTGGATTATAATGAATTGCCATGTCCATTGGATAATTCAGTAATTAAATTACGATTAAGGGATCGAGCGGATGGTGCCCGAGGGACTTGAGGACTTTGCGAATTTCATTTCTTTTCGCTTTATTCGTGAATTTCAACAGAGGGTCTTATTAACGGCGGTGAAGTTCGAGCGTAACTTGACGGTTTGCCTCTCCTTGGGCCGATTACGAGACGGGATTACGTCTCTCCGAGACGAGTTACGCTTGAGGTTAATTGTCGTCGTGATTGTAAATTGGATATTGGTCTTCTGACCGCGCGAGATAGTTAATGTCTCTTTGTATAAAAACCCGAAGAGATGACTTTGAATAAAGCGTGGATGATTCGCAAACGTTTCGTAACGGCAACGTTTCTGTCGAGCACCATCGTTGCACCCGTTAATTCGTCGCATCCGAAGCTGGGAAGCAAGTAAACGGACTCCGCCGTTCGCGAACACGCTTTCCGTACAGGTAGCTTTTTTACGTAAGACAGAGTTTGCCAAATACTATAGTACTTATTAGCACGTAAGTCGATGAATAAATATATATATACATATAAATATATATATATATATATAATATATATATATATACATATATATATATATACATATATATATATTTATATATATAAATATATATATTATACATGAGGACGATATATGGGAAAAAATGAGTCGCAGGAGACAGCGTCGTGTCGCAGATGTCGTGCGACACTATGCGTCGACGCGAATCCCCGTTTCTAGCACATACAGCTATTTCATATCCGTTGCCAAAAGCCATTTTAGTCCAGCAAGTAGCTTCCCACGAAAAGTATTATTGCGCATATCTCTTTCTCAGTCCGGAGACCATTACGAGTATTATTAAAGTTCGGTAGATGTAAGGCGTATTTTTTATGTATGCTTTTTCTGTACGCGACGAGAAATCCTGCTCTCGAATAAAAAGTGAAGGAACATTTTCAAGCTCAACTGGGGGACAATGAATGTGCGAGTCCGCGCCTCTCGCGTTTCCCTCTGAGATTTTATTACAATGCAACTTTTGCATAACGGTGAACACGATATAAGAAATTTGTTTATATCGACGACCGTAAGTAGGATTGACAGGGAATCTTGCTTCCGTACAAAAACATTAATATTATCGGCATGTAGATTAGTCAACCTGCTGCCAAGAGATATCACATGGATTCATCGAGCCCTTCGAAAGCATCGTTCGCAACTCAAATTGCCAGAGACATTCGCTCAGTATATCTCTCTTATTAAGTCGGCGACTACAAGCGGCTATACAATATTATTCCACTACAGGGCCCAATGAAATAAGAGGATTCAGGCGTGCTCGTTTACAACGGCCAATTTTAACGAACTTAACGTCACTTATCTATGTACTAAATATCACTGAGTTTCACGGAATTGGTAGAACATGACGAAACTCCGCGAATTGACAATGAGCGTCTCTTTTTCTTGTCCCTTTTCCGTTTTTATACCTCGATGCCGCTATTGGAACGCTTGCCTTTCCTGATTAACATCTGCTCGACGTTCAGCTGCGGCGGTTCCGTCCGTGTGTGCCACACGTACACCTGGAATAAGCAAAATGTTCAGTTTCACGAGTGCTTGACGATCGCCACGAGACGCCAGGAGGATCAATTCGTACCTTCATGCAACAGTCCGCCAATGGCTCCAGCTGATCCCTCGTGACTATCTGTCTGAGTATCTCGCTTTCCTGATAACCGCCTTGCACATCGTACGAGAACCACGCGTCCTTGTGCTTGAGCAACAGTTCGAGATTGATGGCGAAGGCGGCCATGTCGAGCGGGAACGGACGGTCCGGCTTCCATGCGGCGTTGAAACTGATTACCTTATTAGTAGCGTTATCACAAATGCAGATAGGTCGCTCCACCATCAAGCCGCCGACTAAACCGACCGGCCACACTCCGACTCTCTGTATCTTCTCCATCTGTAAAATGCAATACACAGAATTGCGAATTCAATGAGACGTCCGTTTGGAAATGGATATCTACTCGAGCATGTAGAATTACCGACGTGATTCTGATTGATCTAAGATTATATTGTCAATAAAATTGTTATGTTATTAACATCTCGGATCTTATCGGAATCAGAATCCATTGTCACTACAGTAGACTAGCGAACTGACACGCTGGAATTGAAGCAATTGCATTCTGGCAAACTCTGGTACGATGGACATTTTATTTCGAGTGAGTAGCCGATGCTGATAAAACTCGAAGCCCGAGGCTCGATTCGCTCGTTGAAGCATGCAACCCTCACGACGTAGCACCCTTTGACGCGGCAGCGAATTACCGATTTCTGATGGGAGGAAGCTGCGAACCTAGCCGCGTGCAACGTCAAAATGCTCGAGAGAGAGAGAGGGGGAGAGAGAGAGAGAGAGAGAGAGAGAGAGAGAGAGAGAGAAATTCAGTTCGGTAATCTGTGTTGCGCGTCAACAGAGCTGGCTGGTTCCGCAGGGCATCGTTACCTCGCGGAATAGCTTGATGGCGTAAGTATTGTCATCGTCGGCGAAGAACACGACGCCCTTGTTGGACGGCTTGAGATTCTCCCGGATCCACCTTAGCGCGGCGTTTCGTTGCTCCACGCCGCGCGGCTTCTTCCAGTTCGGGTCGTTCCTGCCGAGCTTGTAGTTGGGCGGCGTCGCCGCGGACAGGTGCGTGTAGATGAGGCCGCTGGTCTCCAAGAAGTTGCTGACCAAGCTGGTCTTGGACGGTGCGTCCTCCACGACGATCCAGTGGAAGTTGCGCACGTGGAGGAACGTCTGCGCCAGCCGGGTGAGCTCGGCCTTCTGCACAGGCCTGGAGAACGTGGGTGTGATCGCGTAGATGACGGTCTGATTACCGCTTCTGCCGCGGAGATTCTCCACGAAGAGGCCGTGAGACTCCAGCCTCTTCACCACGCTGTACGTCAGCCCTTGCACGTCGCGCAGGTCCATTATCACCGACTCGAGCTTGGAGCGCAGTTCCTGCCATTTGTTGCGCTCCTGGTAATCTGTGTGTGCGAAAGTTCATTCGAGTTATTGTTGACGCAAGTCGCGCGCGGGTCTTCAATCGTCCCCCTCTCGCATCTTGAACGACGCGCTCGGGGGACTGCGACAGCGCGCGGCGTAATCTGCATATAGGACAAGAGCAAGCAAACACACGTGGGAGCAGTAGCTCGCGCATGAACATGAAGACGGAGCGATTGCGATATATAAATAGCCGATGAGCCATGGCGCGCTTCGCGAGGGCTTCGAAACAGCGTTCCACGTGAAACAATAATAGACCGTGTTTACGGGAGCATCGTGTGGCGCTTCATTCTCAGCCGCAATCTGTGCACCGTATAATTCACGTAGACGTCGGTTGACTGCATTTCCCCCACGCTTTCCACTGTGTGAAAATAAAGTCATTTCTTACAGCAAGCAACTAAGCTCTTCCCAGCAATCCTGCCCACGTCGTGAGACGCGCTGCAATACCACAAATGGTAGCGTGAAAAGTAGCCGGCGTTTGTTGAAACTGCAGGAGACACCGACTTTCATTCTCGATTAAACGACCATCAGAGTTTCGTGTACTTACACTTGCGTCCTGGCTCCGATTGTGGATTCAACTTTCTTTAAACGCGGAATCGAGTGCAACGAGGAGCGAACGCAAAATGGACACACGAATAGGTACTAGATGTCGTAATTTTGTTTCGTGTTTCGATTCGGCGAGAAATCGCCGTCCAAATTGCCGAAATAATTCGGCCCGTTCTCTTGAAAGTGGCGCCAAGTGTGGACAAATCGAACGTGTTTATGGCGGATGGTCCCGCCGGGCAATTTTGTGACGAGAATTCAGTTTTTGGCAGCCATGATTGATGCGGTCACTATATTAATAACTGCAAACAAACTCGAAGTGTCGCTTCTCGATTGGTAATTTAGTTACGGGGAGATTTTGAAAAGCATAATTTTGTAAAGGCAAGAGCAACGTGAACGTCGGGAGCCACGGTGCAACTCTGTTTCGAATCGCCCGCCGAAGCGCATCGAGCGTGTCAACGAGTGCGCGACCTTGAAGAACATTTGCTGGTGTGCGCATAGACGCGTACGCACGCGTGTAGGCAGCGAGTAGTCCGCTGTGGACGATGATATCAGCGAAAATAGCACAATAACTAAACGAGCACTCACAAACGACACTTTGGAATGCGATCACATTGATGAGGAACAGTACGAGGAAAGCCTTGTTACAGCGAAATCCGCCCCACATACTGGCTTTCGTGCTGGATTCGTCGGTGAGGAGTACACTCTCTGTCATCGTTGACGCGCCATGACACTGTGCTGCCTCACCGACAGCGCCGACTAAAGTGTCAACATTCTGTGATATCACAGTACATCACGCGGTCCACGTGATACGGAGCATTTTTGCAACACTGTATAATGGTCGATATCAAGCAGTCTTTTCGTTTCTTATCGGAACATGGTCGCTGTTTTAATAAAACAGATACTTAGAAATGAGCGCTTTCGCTGTGTTGAAATTTTCATTCCCACCAAATTGCGCGAATCCGAATAACTTTTACTACGATTGATATCTGAGTGAAATGGCAACTTTTACTCAAAACGTATAAATTTGACAATTTAGAAATCAGAAGAATAGACACGCATGAGTGATAACCGTGATATACTGACAGATATTTATTAAAAAAATGACATAACTAATAATAATAATAATAATCCCGTTAATCTCTTATTAACTCGCTAAAAGAACAAATCAAATAATCATATCGTATTTGTTCGTTAAAATAGCAAATATAGAAAATATAGTAAAACCTTTATTATCAGGTCGCAAAATAACAGGTCGATTTCTTTTAAAATTCTTATTTGAGTTCTTTTAACATGGTTTGAGTCTTGGCTAAAAAACTGATTTTTAGCTGAGACACAAACCACAATCTTGGATCTCAGCTAAATTTATCTTCACAAAAATTAACTAGGACTAAACCAGGTATTTCTTGTGAATTTTTTAAATTGTATTCAATAATATTCTTCGAGCTAGAAAGTCCCAAAATTAATTAGTTTTTAATTTTCAAAAATATATTTACCATTAGTGGGTAAAGTTTACTTCCAAAGGAGCTCAAACTAATCGATTATTATTGATGATTTCAAAAATTCTTGATTATAAAAATTGATATATTTTTAAATCGACTTTGGAAACCAATTATTTTCCTCAACATTGCCCATCCCTAGTTTGAAAATCTCATTTTTATCAATTACTCAAGATCATAGAACGATAAGTCAATTCAACGGCAGGTCAAAAATCTTCTTCTTCATTTCTACCCATAATGACACTAATGGCAATCTAGAAGAGATCTCTCCTGTCCAGTAGGAACCTTTCTTCTAATTTATTCTTTATTTCCGCTTTTTTCTAACCAGTGACCTTTCTTTACAGGTGCCGTTCCTGAGGCTGCTCCAGGCTTACGTCGCAAGGGTGGCAAGCACCCCTGAGCGGTCCGGATGCAACCTCACAGATGACGCCAAGGGTGTACCGGATTCGTGCGAATTGAGGGGCGCATGCCGGGACACGCGCGTGCCACGGTCACGCGTACGTTCTCCCTAGGACAGTCAGCAAGCAGTCAGCAACGGGTCGCGGGGTGGGAAGGCAGGGTGACGGCAGAGTAGAGTGGAGGGAGGCTGGTTTTGGCTGGCTGGCTGGCTGGCTGGCTGACTGGCGAAGTAGCGAGGTACCGGCCGTGTAGCCACACCAGCCACTGTGACGGCCACGGCGGAGCGAGTGCGTGCGTTCCTCTGTTCGTCGGCTGATTCTTGCTGCGCGAATGACATCGCGATGTGAGGACGTGTGACGAAACACGTCGGCGGTCGCACGACGAGAGAGAGAGAGAGACACGCCGACACGCTACGAATCGTGAGCTACGATTAATTGCCAAGCAGGGTGTGAGTCGATAGCTCGCGTCTGACGAGGAGAAGAAGAGAGGGTGAGAAGAATAATAGGGGCGGAAGAGGGAAAGCGCATCGAGAGCTCATGTGACAACGCAGGGGGTTGCGAGCCGTCTGACAGTAGTACGTTAAGCGGCTGTTACTACTGCTTGCCGTAGGTTGCTTGTTGTGACTGTGACAGCGGTGGCGGCGACGGCGGTGGCGGTTGGTGGTGGAAGTGATTGTGGTGGTGGTGGTGGTAGTGGTGGTGGTGGTGGTGGTGGCGGTGGCGGCAGTGGTGGTGGTGGTGGTGGCGGCGACGACGACGACGACGACGACGGCGGCAGCGGCGGCGGTGGCGGCGGCAGCGGCGAGGACGACGGTGGGTAGCGGCGGTGCTGTCCGGAGTAGCACTGCGGCTCGATCATCCGCGGCGAGAGGGAAGGCTGGCGTGGCCCTCGAGGTTACGAGGCCAGGCGAGAAAGTGGGTGTTGCCGGAACAACGACAACGACGACGACGACGGCGGCGGCAACGACGACGACGACGAGGAGGTCGGGAGGATCGTCCGAGTCCTGCGGGAGTCGGTCGTCGGGATCTTATAGGAGGGAGGAGAGGCTGGTGGACAAGACGACCGGAGGAGAAGGATGCTCGTCGGTCGTCGGTCTTGGAGTCGACGTCAGCTCTCCGCTGGCCTCCTCCTCGACGATGACCTCGTGCCTCGTGAGTAATCGCGCGTCGCTAGTGTCCTCCTCCACTTTCCCGGCTGCGACGCATGTCACGCTTCCTCCGCCAGGCCGCACATACGTGCGGCCGAGCGTTTGGTTCTCCGGGGAGATAGATCACCGCACTTAACCGCTCGCACACACAGAGCCGGTCACTCCGACGTCAATGTGAATACATTTTTATACCGTGGATTTGTAGATATCCTCATACCGCCGACGTCATCCTTGGATCGTTCACTCACCCCCTGGACGACATCGTTCGGCTATGACGTCGCGGCTGTAGCTACCGCTCGCGCATCCTGAACGACAGCGAGAGAGAGAGAGAGAGAGAGAGAGAGAGAGAGAGAGAGAGAGAAAGGGGGGTGGAGAAGGAGGGAGAGAGAAAGAGAGATTGTCCCGGCGAGTCGTATATCTCCGGCCGAACGTTGTCCGGAACGATATTGTCCAGGTGACGGAGAGCACTCGCACAGCCTCGCGCATCGCCAACGCGAGGAAATAGAGGTCGGATGCAAATTACGAGCACAGACGGGAGGCGGTGCGCGCTGGGCACGGTAATTGGGGCGAGGGGACGCTGCCTCGATGGGCATACTCAGCGCGAACAGCGAAGGGGGATCGCCGGAAGGGGGTATATTCCCGTCTCTCACGCGTTCTCTCTCTCTCTCTCTCTCTCTCTCTCTCTCTCTCTCTCTCTCTCTCTCTCTATCTATCTATCTATCTATCTATCTCTCCCTTCGCGACCCCGCCGGCGCTCCTCGATCTCCTGCCACGAGATCCGCAGCCCCGTCTCTTCGTATGTAACTCTTGTATTTTTCCCCTCCTTGCTTTCGGTAAACCGGAATCGTCAGCGCGTAAACCGCTTCTCTCTCTCTCTCTCTCTCTCTCTCTCTCTCTCTCTTTGTGTGTATGTGTACGTCGTACACAGAGGGGAATCCCACGCTCCGCGACGTGAGAGAAGGGGAATTATTGTGTGCGACGTATGCACGCGCCCTTTGCTCTCGCTCTTTCTCCATGCCCTTCTTCGCGCAACCCCTTCATCGTCGTATACCACTGGTAATGTACACGGAATACCGGGAATAATACTCGAGGCTCGTCGACCGCTTGAGAATCTCGCCTCCTCTTTCTCCTCCTGCTCTTCCCTCTCCCACCTACCCCCCCTCCGCCGACTCTCTCGCTCACTCTCAACCGGCGCACCTCTCTCCTCTCTAACCCTTCGTGTGCACTGGCCCCGATTAGTCGTCACTTAATCGTTACCGGATTACTCTTCCTCTCTACATCTCTTGTCCCTTTCTCTATCTCTTTCTCTGTCTCTCTTTCCCCCTCCCCCTCTCTCTTTTTCTCTTTCTCCTGCTCTCTCGCTCACCCCTTTTCTCTTTCATTTTTGAGGGAGAGGCCGCGCGCGCTAACTACGTCATCGTGTCCCACTGAGTCACGGCTTTTAAATTGATCCCCTCGCACTCCCTACCCCCCGACGTCCATCTTCTCCCGCCGTTATACGGCGGCCGCTTCCTCCTTGCTGTGCGCACGTGAATCGGAAAATGTCAATTTATTCAAACGCGGCCTCCTCAATCGCCCGCCGGCCAATTCACAATCGGCCTCTCCAGCGCGCCTTAATTTTCAACGATATTACGTTTAGCCCGCTCGCGTATCGCTCTTCTCAAACGAACGGAGCCTCGCTCCACGACGACGGAGAACCCGATATCACCGTTACCGTCCCCGTGAAACGAACGAGAAACGAACGAGAAACGAGTACACGCGTTCGGGCCGATTACCGTCTTCGGCAATTGGCCGCTTCCAAAGTGCCGCTCCGATTTCCGATTATTCTCGAGCTCGTGCGAGCCACTATCCTCTCTCTGGGAAACAGTCCCGATCTCGACCTTCCCATCTCCGCACGACCACCCTCCTTTCTCTTTGCCGTCAATCCCTGCCTCGCTCGCGTGCTCGAAGCTCGCTTCGAGCGGCCCGACCACGACGAGTCCCCCAAGCCGGGTGACTGCCACTCGATATCTGCCGCGTCGATTTCCCACGAGCCGCGGAAATGCATATCCCGCGGAGTCGCGGAATCCTCGCTAGCGCGGCGTAGACGATGTCTGGCGCGTGTGGTCGTTCAATAATTAAGCAAGGTTGCGGCTACCGCCGACATCGTGCCGCGGTAACCACCGCGTCCTCGGCGGGACTCGAACTAAGAAAATGATCGATCATGCGATGCCGCGATGCAACCGCGACAAGGATATAAGATAATCCCGCTCTCTCTCTCTCTCTCTCTCTCTCTCTCTCTCTCTCTCTCTCTCTCTCTCGATGTTCCGCGACCGCCAGCCCCGCTCTCGTCAATCTCTCCCGTTGGTGTGCGCGCCGCCCGCGCCGCCAACCGTCTCGCAGCCGACCGTGTTATGGCCACGTTATTCCGATATATCTGCTAAGTAGGCGGTCATACGCCGCTCGCCGGGCGACTTTTCAAACGTCACGCGTGCACAATTCTCCGATACTTGGCGCGGATCCGCGCGCGCGCTAATCCGCTTCTCGAGCCGCGGCAGCGAGCCGCTTTCCGAATTGGATAACTACTTGTTGATGCGTCTCGCTTCCGTGCATCGTGCATCACGAGGGGCGCGTTAACGACCGACCTTCCACCGGCACAGAGTTCCTCGAATATTTCTCTTCTCATCCTGTCTCTCTCTCTCTCTCTCTCTCTCTCTCTCTCTCTCTCTCTCTCTCATCTTGACGAGACGAGCGAGGAAGCGAGTGACACTTTCGGCCCAGATGGAGGGCGGCTTCGAGATCCCAGAAATTCTGCCAGACTGATTACCGGCGAGAGCGACAGAGATTTTTCGTGATCCCGCGAAACGGACCAGACGAGTCCGGTGATGACTAAAGGGACGATTCGAGGGCGAAGGTCGTCGGTCAAGCTACGCCGGGTCGCGACTCAGCCAGCCGAGAGATTCGACTTTGCAGTTCGGCAGCTCGACGCGCTTCCGGCTTTTTAACGTAACTCTTTGAACGGGGGGCTGTTTGTTTAGTTATGTAACAACGTATGTTGCGCGCGCTAATTTGCCGTGAACCGCCGCGCGGACCCCCGTAATTTCGACGGAATGTTAGCGGACGCGCCGCGTCGGTCGAGTCGGCGAGTTCGTGTGTGCGCAGCCAGCCAAATTGAATTTCTCTTCGTAACGTAAAGAGCCTTCTGGGACAGGCTTCGCTGTTAACGCGTTTGTCCCTTTAGCCCTCCGGACGAAAATGAATGGTCTCGGGGCTCGAAGCGTTGATACAGCGTAATGACAGGGAATGCCATTGATAGCGATGTCTTCGTGGGAAACGGGAGACTGCAAAGTGTCCAGCGGAACATGTCGGTCGATATCGATTCGTTTCGCCTCGCTCGCGATCGTCCGCAACTATTGACAATCTAATCAGCCGGCTGTCCGGCGGAGTCGCTACTTTTGCGGGGATGAATAGAATCTAAAACTGACCGTCCGACCGGCCGGCCGTTAGTAAATTGAGTCACCGCTAACGCGCTTCTATTTCGCCGCCCCCCGCCACCCCCGGCCGCCCCCGCGATATCTCTAAACCGTGCGCCTATTCCGATTATCGATTACACTATTGTTTGGCTAGTCGCATTCGATTAGCGGGGCCACGCTCGCGCGAGATAAAGGGCATGGAACCAATCTCTACGAAAGCTCTATCTCTCGCTCTCTCTCTCTCTCTCTCTCTCTTTCTCCTCTCTCTCTCCTCTCCCCCCCCCCCGCCCTCATCCCCCTCTCTTTCTCTCATCCACCGGCCGGGCTCGTGACCCGCTCGCACACACAGTGCGATGACTTGAATAGCGTAACAGATGCATGGCCGAAAGTTCGTATCCGCGTTCGTGGCGCTCTGTGACATTTCTGAGGCGCGACCGTTTCCAGAAAAGGTCAATCGATATAGAACGGCATTCGCGCGCGAGTCGGATAAGTCGGCCGTTTCGGCTCGTGCAAGCGCACCCTTCCGCCAGAGTTCGCCGACTCTTCCTGGGCGAAGGGACGACATGAGCGCGGAAATAGCTGAGCGGGACGCTGCTAATAGACAACGTGAGAAAAGAGCCGTCGAAAGAGCAGCGCGGCCTGAATTTTCGCGGGCTTCCGGCAGGAGATTTCGATCCTGCCGATCGAAGTCGCGATACCAGAACGCTCCCTGAAAATATCGTCGACGCTAAAAATGCCACAAGGACGATAATTATTGTTTGTTCTCGAGCGGCGTGGGGCGAATCGGTAGCGACTTTCGAGTACAAAGATCTCGTTATTCGCTCGCATCTCCGAAGTTGAGCGCGCTCATACTTGGAGTACTGTCGGGCGAATCCGAAATTAGGTTTCGCCCGAGTAATCTGCACGATTGAAATTAAAGTCGAGTCCGCGAGTCATTTAGCCTCTCGCGTACGCGTCCGCGACTCGGTCTCGCTGCTTTGTCTCGAGAAGGGATTTTCGCTTGCCGAGGGAATCGCTCGCTCTCCTCCGCGAGACAATGTCCCGACAGGTATTCCGGCGCCAACGCGCTCGTATTGTTGCCAAAAACATATTTCTCGGTTAGTATCCTCGCCATTTCCTCCTCCGTCCTCCCCGATGTCTCCTCAGCGGCCTAAAATCATGCCGCCGTGAGTCATAACTTTCCGCGGGCCTCTTATTGTCGTGCTCCACTTCCGGTCTTAGCAGCAATCAGTCGGAGTGCTCTATTCGACCTGAAACCTTATCCTGAAGAGAGAAGAGAGACCGGGCCGAGTTTTGTCGTTTTTAATCTCTGATCGCGGTGGTCATTGAACCGCGCGCTCGAGATGGAATATTCGGATGCAAAGACGCCGATGCGCATCGCGCGGGAGTGCGCGAAGTTGTATTTACTTGTTCGTAAAACATGGCAACGACGACGACGGCGAGGATTACCGGCGTGTCTTCGTCGCGTGTCTGCGTGCGTGTATGTGTGTGTGTGTGTGTGTGTGTGTGCTTTTATCCGCGTTACGTCAGCGCGCCGTGTAATGCCAAGGAT